CTTTACTCAGCAGAGGGTTGAGTTTGAGAAGCATCTCTACACCAGGAACCAGGAGGATCTTCCTAAAATGCAAGCCCTGCCTTAGCCCGCAGGCCCTGCGGGGGTCTGGCCCCTCCAGAACTCTCCAGTCTCTTCTGGAGTCACACCCCTCCCCGCTGCTTCTGCACCATGGTTATTCTGCCAGCCCAGCCCAGCCCTTATCATCTTTTTTTTTTAAATCTATTTTGTTCTTTTGAGGAAGATTGGCCCTGAGCTAACATCTGTTGCCAATCTTCCTCCTTTTTTCCTTTTTTCTCCCCAAAGCCCCAGTAGATAGTTGTATGTCATAGTTGTACATCCTTCTAGTTGCTTTATGTGGGACGCCGCCTTGGCACGGCTTGACGAGCAGTGAGTAGGTCGGCGCCCAGGATCCGAACCGGTGAACCCCGGGCCGCCGAAGCAGAGCGCACGAACTTAACCACTATGCCACTGGGCCAGCGCCCCTTATCGTCTTTTTAACTGAGGCATCATTCACATAACATAAAATTCACCCTTTTAAAGTGAACAGTTCGGGGCCGGCCCCGTGGCTTAGCGGTTAAGTGCGCGCTCCACTACTGGCGGCCGAGGTTTGGATCCCGAGCACGCACCGACGCACCACTTCTCTGGCCATGCTGAGGCGGCATCCCACATACAGCAACTAGAGGGATGTGCAACTATGACATACAACTATCTGCTGGGGCTTTGGGGGGAAAAAAAGTGAACACTTCAATGGGTTTTAGTATATTCACAAAGTTGTACAACCATCATCATTGTCTAATTCCAGCACATTTCATTACCCCCAAAAGAAATCCCATAAGCAGTTTTTCCCCATTCCTCCCATCCCTCAGGCCCCAGCCCCTGCCTACCACTAATTGACTTTCTGTCCCTGTAGATTTCCGTATTCTGGACATTTCATATACATGGAATCAGATCACTTGTGGTCTTCTGTATCTGGCTTCTTTCACTTTGCTTAATGTCTTCAAGGTTCATCCATGTTGTAGCATGTTATCAGAGCTTCCTTCATTTTTATGGCTGAATAATATTCCACTGTACGGATGGACCACATTGTGTTTATCCATTCATCTGTCAAAGGGCATCTGGGTTGTGTCCACTTTTTGGCCCTTGTGAATAATGCTGCTGTGAAGAGTTGTGTACAACTGTTCGCATGGACATATGTCTTCCATTCTCTTGGGTAGGTACCTAGGAGCGGAATTGCTGGGTCATATGATAACTCCATGTCTAAGTTTTTGAGGAACTCCCTGATTGTTTTCCACCCTCCCTTTTATTCCAAGCATTTTTCTCAATCTGTAATCGAAAGTTTGGATGACCATTTCTTGGTCTCTACCCCTGATATGCTCCAGGCGGGCAGAGGCTGTGTCTGTCTTTGCCCACCAGCCTTCAGCCGTCAGCACATTGCCTGGCACCTGGTAAACATCCAATTGATATCGTTGGGCAGGCAGGTGGGTTCAATTCCTCAAAAATCTCTCGACTCTTACGTTGTATGAGGTTCAGTGGTGATTCCTCCCTGGGGGTGGGGGTGTCTGATGGAGATGTTCGGAAGCCAGTTAGCAGTCTTGGCCGGTGCTCCAGAGAAAGGAAAAGCTGAGGATGAAGGTGTCGTAATCACCGACATGTATTTGGTCATTTAAGCTCTGAGAGTGAGATCACCAAGGATGTGGGGGGACAAGGGCCCAGGCAGGGTCTGTGGGGGAAGAGGCACCGTGCGGGACATTGAGAAGCCCTGGGCAGAGAGGCAAGAGGAGAGCCAGGAGTCTGGTCTCTTGGAAACTGGATGGGAGAGGCTTCAAGAAGGAGGAAGCATGTCTGTATCTGTAGGCCCCCGAGAGAGAGACGCCAGGCATCTGGACCTGTCTGCCCCCACACCCCCCGCCCCTAGCTCACTGGCACAGTCTCTTACCAGCCCCCTGGCTTGGCTCACCTTCCTGAGCTGTGGGCCTCCCTGTTGGGACACGGAGGATAGTGGTGCCAGCCGGCCCATTGCCCACCCTGCAGGGGCCAGGACCCCTTTCGTGTGGCTGAGGTGGGGCAGCAGCAAAGGGCATTGAAGTTGGGGACATTGAGAGGCTGGGACCCCCTATCTAGAGGGCCTGTGCGTGGATCTCAGAGGCCGGTGGCCTCTTAGCACTCAAGGGGACCTGCCTTGTCTCTGTGTCTCTGTGCCTGTCCAGCAAGGGCAGGGTGGCTGAGTGCCCTCGTTCCACTCCATGTGCCCATGCCTAGGACAGCGCCTGGCCCTCAGATGGTAAGCGCCAGGGAAGGAATGGTTGAGCCCGTAAGAGTCATGGCACTTTGGAGAGGGAGGCAAGGCCACTCACAGAGCTAGGATGGCAGCAAGCCAGTGTCCGCCCCAAGTCTACTCGGTTCCAAGGGTGGCGAGATCTCGTCAGTGCAGGAAGTGTGTGTGCGTGTGCACATGCCAGAGTGTGCATGGGTGTGAGATTGTGTGTGAGTGTGTGTATGGGTGTGAGATTGTGTGTGAGTGTGAATGTGAGTGTGTGTCTGTGTGTGCATCCGTGTGTGTGTGCGCGCGTGCCTGCACGTGTGCATCAGGAGGATGGCTTCCAGGGCCAGGCAGTGTTTGGAGAGTCTGAGGATGAGTCAAGAGAAAGTTCCTAGGGGACCAGAAGGTTCTGCCTCTCAGACTGCAAATTTCAGCCCTGTGTATTGAATCAATTTTCTTTCCTGTATGAAATACACATTAATATGTGATAAATAGCTGAGCAAACTCCACGAGTGGATGGCCCCTGGCTTGTTTTGTTTTAAATCAGAAACCCAGAGCTGAGCCATTCCCTTGGGCTCTTTGAGGCGGGGGTGCCCAACGTGCTCATGGGCTTGGGCCCCCTGGGCTCAGCAAGGAGAGAGTGGTCCCAGGCCACCATCACGGCCACATGTGGTCCCTTCCTCTGAGGCCCCCACTGCTCCCCAAATCCAGCTGTGCTTATGAGGCCCCATCCTCACGTCCACCACCTCCTCCCCATCTCTTAACTCTGAAGTTAGGAAATCCATGCTGCCTTCCCAGCCCCTCCCTGCCCAGAGAGATCCTCCCAGATCAGCACTTCTCGTCCACAGCCCATCTCTGCCCTGGTGGCCGCAGACTTGCCTCTGCAGGAGGCCTGGGAGTGGCCCCCACTGTCCCTCTCTCAGGAATGATTAACTCCTGACTTGGCGGTACACGGTGGCTTGGTCTTGGGAGGCGGGGGTCCCTGGGCAGCTGGGCAATGGGAGAGAAGGTCTTCCGGTTCTGCTGGGGGCTGCCACCTAGAGTTTGTACCACTCCCCAAAAGCCAGAGGCTTCAGTGCCCAACAGACTAGGGGAGCCCTGTGGGCCAGAGGCAGAGCCAGTGGCCCTGGAGAGTCAGAGTTCTGGGCCCCCATGGGGTGAAAGAGAATGGTGCCCCTCCCCGTGACAGGGCAGCACGGGGGAAGGAGGGCTGCAATCAAGGGCCTGGCCAGGGTCAAGTCCAGCCGACCCGAGGGCCCTCAGGTGTGGGCTGGGGGCTGAGCTGGGGCTGCGAGATGCCCAGTGACCTGAGGGCACCAGACAGGTGTGAAATGGTCTGCTGGCATCCTGTCACTGTCCCCCTGCTGCCTAGGGGACCAGATGCCCCCTCTCCAGAGACCAGGTGAGGGCCCCTCTGTGGGCTGAGCTGTCAGAGCCAGGTCAGGTGGGGCCCAAGGGCACTTGGTGGACTCCTGGTACAGAACGTGCATGGGAGTGGGGGGCAGGGAGGAGCAGCCCAAAGTGGCAGGGGGTGTCAGGATTTTCTTCCTGTCTGTGTGGCCCCAGGGCTCCCTATCTTCTTAGACCCCTGGCGCTAGCCTGGGCTGACCAGGAACAGAGCAGGAGGAACACCACCCCCAGCCCTTAGGGGCCTCCCCTCCCCTAGCCATTCCCGACCCCGAGAACCTCCCACCAGGTGAAGCCAACCCCCACATCGGGCATAGCAGGACCCCGGAGCCCGGGCTCCCGGCCAGACCTGGGCCTTGGCCCAACAGAGACAACGATGGCCGACGTTTGTGGAGCCATCACTAAGTGTCGGGCACTGTCCTCATGCGTTAGGGGCGGTAGCATGCTCAGTTCTCACAGCCACCCTCTGAGATAGGTCCTATAGGATCTTCAGCCTATGGAGGCTCAGAGAAGTCCAGTGACTGGCCCAAGGTCACACAGCTGGTCAAGGTCCATTTGAGTCTGGAGCCTTCACTTTCACGTGGTGCTGAGTTGCCTCTCATGAGACTGGCACGAGGTGAGACGCCAGTGTCCTCAAAGCCCCCTGGAGGGTAGGGCCAGACCATCCCCAGGAAGAACAGAAGAGCTGGGCCCGGCACCTGCCCAGCACACGGCAGGCCAGAATCAGGATTGCTGCGGCTCCCGCCCTGCGTCCACCAGGGCACAGATTCCCAGCACTTGACGCGCCCCTGGCTTCCCAGCCCAAGGAGAGTTGACTCTTCCGGCCATTGGCAGCACCAGACAATTAACAGGAGAGAATAATTGCTTCTGGCTGTGCCAGCAGCCCACTCTGGTTGATGAGACGAGGAAGGTCAGATGCGGAGGCAGGGCTCCTAGGGCAGGCCACAGCCAGGGACGGGGACCGAGGCTGTCAGGAAGGGCCGCCAAAGCAGGGTGCCCCCAAGGTCCCAGCAGGAGCCCCAAGTGACAGGAGCCTCAGCCCCAGGCCCTGCTGAAGACTCAGGAGTGTCGAGTTGAGACTTGGCCTTCATGCCCGGGGACAGCAGGACAGCTTGGCCCTGGCCGTGGTCCTCCTGTCTCTGTCTGAACATCTGGACTACACAGGCAGGGATCCCGGTAGCCAGCGTCTGAAGTAGGAGGCGGTGCAGCCATCAGCTGGGCTGGGGTATGTGGGGACGAGGGGTGCAGCGAGTGGACAGACCGGAGATGGAAGCCCGGTGTGAGGAAATGTCCCCAGGGTGACAGGACGGGGTGGATACCCCACCCCGTGCTGACCACACGTGTCTCTGGCCCCCAGACAGATCTGTGACCCAGCCCCACCCAGCTGATGAGCCTGCCCACCATGGCAAGCCCCACTCTGAGCCCTGACTCCTCGTCCCAGGAGGCCCTGTCGGCCCCCACCTGCTCCCCGACCTCGGACTCCGAGAACCTCAGCCCCGATGAGCTGGAGCTGCTGGCCAAACTCGAAGAGCAGAACCGGTGAGCTGGGGCCCAGGAGATGGCGAGGGGCCTCAGGGGTGCAGCTGGGCCCTAAACAGAAGTTCCTGGGTACCCCTCACACTCAGAGCTGGTCCCGGCCCTGGGCAAAGTCACAGCTCCCACCAGAGGCTGGATGAGGGACGTCTCCCGTCATCCTCCCCACCCTGGGTGGACAGACGGTCCCCCATTCAGATGAGGAGACCGAGGTTTCAAGAGGCTGAGTGAATCTGGGGATCTGGCCATCGCCTATCCAGCCTCTGTGGAGGGAAGAAACTAAACCTCTGACCCTGGGGTCGGGCCTTCTCACCTTCCTCCCCAGCCCTCCTCCTGTTTTAAAGTGTAGGTTTATGATTATTCAGGTGTGGCGAGGCAAACAGATCAGGAGATGACTACCATTGAAAAGACAGGTTGTTACTCACAGATCCCAAGAGGAGGAGGCACAGCACACCATGCAGGGCCACACGGGGAAGCACCAAGGTGTGTCAGGAGGCAGAGAGAGGGGGAGAAATGAACAAGAGCCTTTATTGTGGTTTCTATGGGAAGGAACAGGTGGGGCAGGGGAAGCAGGCTTGGGTTTGGCTAGTTTGAACAATTCCAGCAGGCTCTGGGGCATAGGGGCTGGCCCTAGTTGTCTGGCACCTGGCCCCGGGGGATGATCGGGGCAGGGGAGAGTGGCCCCGAGTGTGAGAGCCCCTCCCATAAAGGAGGGGGTTGGAGTGTGGGCTCTGGATTGGCTGGTTTGCGAGTCCTTCGCTACTTCTAGGAATCCGCTGGCCTGGAGGGGCGGTCCCTCCAGGGTCAGTGAGGCCCCAGCTGTCGAAGCATCAGAAACACATGGTTAATTTAGCCCCTCCCTAGCTGGGTGCCCCCAGCTGGCAGCTCACCCTCTCTGTGCCTCATCTGTAAAGGGTCGATTTTAACACAGCCTGCCCCGCAGGGTGGCACAACACGAAATGAGCTCATCCACGTGGTTCTCAGGCCAGTGCTGGGCACAGGATGGGACACACAAATGGCAGCCTCTCCAGGGGCCCAGGGACACGGAGCATGGCTCAGAGAGGCCAAGGTCACTCAGCAAGTGGCACACAGCAAGAACAACTTGGACCTAAGCCCTGGTGGCCTCTGGGACCCCCAGGAGGAGGGGCACTGGAGTCCAGGGACTGGGGCGGGAGGGGCCCACAGCCCGGCCCGCCTCCACCTGCCCTCCCTGCCCAGGCTCCTGGAGGCCGACTCCAAGTCCATGCGCTCCATGAACGGCTCCCGGCGCAACAGCGGCTCCTCGCTGGTGTCCAGCTCCTCGGCCTCCTCCAACCTGAGCCACCTGGAGGAGGACACGTGGATCCTGTGGGGCCGGATTGCCAACGAGTGGGACGAGTGGCGGCGCAGGAAAGAGAAACTGCTCAAGGTGGCGGGGGTGGG